TATAATGGTCACATTCCAATATATCATGATATAATTGAAACTTAATCTTTTTAACAAAACGCATTTGACTAGCAGGTCGAACAACTGATGTTCTTAAACCCTGCTGACTGCCATTGGCGATTGCCAAATAAACGGATCACAAGCGTAACAAAATAGATCTTATTATTAATTTAGTGCCAAACAGAAAACAATAAACTTGCGGAAAAGATGGTATACCGCAAACATGAGGTGCAAAATTTTGTACACCATATCCGGATTTCGACAATTAATGTCTCTTCAGTGATGTTAGGAATCGAAACGGTATTTGGAAGGCCATATAATTTACCTCAATTTAGGATAGACTCTTGAATTTTGAAAGAGTCAAAATAGGATGAACGGATCATATAAACCCGAAGGCAAATATAATACAAACCAAACGAAAAAATATAAACAAATCTAAATTGAAAACAACGTTCAAACCTATGATTGCGTTGGATAAAAACCGCAATTTTTATACGTGTGCATGCAAAACAAATTTCTTGGTAGAGGGGTCTAAATACAGCACAAACAACATTTTCCAAAAGACCAAATGAGTGAAAAAGTATATTTTAACAAAACGCATTTGACTAGCAGGTCGAACAATTGATGTTCTTAAACCCTGCTGAATGCCATTGGCGATTGCCAAATAAACGGATCACAAGATGTAACAAAATGGATCTTATAATTAATTTATTACTAAACAGAAAACAATAAACTTGCGGAAAAGATGGTATACCGCAAACCTGAGGTGCAAAAATTTGTACACCATATCCGGATTTCGACAATTAATGTCTCTTCAGTGATGTTAGGAATCGAAACGGTATTTGGAAGACCATATAATTTACCTCAATTTAGGATAAACACTTGAATTTTGAAGAGTCGAAATAGGATGAACGGATCATATAAACCCGAAGGCAAATATAATACAAGCCCAAACGAAAAAATATAAACAAGTCTAAATTGAAAACAACGTTCAAACCTATGATTGCGTTGGATAAAAACCGCAATTTTTATACGTGTGCATGCAAAACAAATTTCTTGGTAGAGGGGTCTAAATACAACACAAACAACATTTTCTAAAAGACCAAAAAAGTGAAAAAGTATATTTCAACAAAACGCATTTGACTAGCAGGTCGAACAACGGATGTTCTTAAACCCTGCTGGCTGCCATTGGCGATTGTCAAATAAACGGATCACCAGACAACTATATATATCAGTTTGAAAGTCATGCGCACAAGTTTGAAAGTCGTGCGCACGAACTAAAAAGTCTCTTAAGGGGCTCCGTAATTATGCTTTACTATACAGACTGTATTATCAACTACAAAACTTTTTTGTTGGCGTCTATGTTTGATTTAATTGTAAGTGTGTTTGAACGTTAAATTCAGTGGTGTTGTATGTCTGTGATGTATGTTTACACAGTTTTGGCTGCTGGATCCCAGATATGGCCACGTTTACCAATTACTTCTGTTTGGTTGCTCACCCAATTGGCAATATTATGGAACATTATACAACTTTCATACAAGTGGGGGTATTAGCTAGCTTGAAACCAGATATACATCTACATCTTAGACATAGCTGCAAATATATGCCGTCACTCGAAAAAGGTTCTTTGACCCATCACTCAAGTATATATATTTATCCTACCATTTTCTTATGAAAATGCCTGTACCATGTCAGGAATATGATAGTTGTTTTCCTTCGTGTTTTTAAAACAATGTTTAATTTTCCAATTTTTACAATATCAACCGTGAAGGTTCTTCGTTTTATAGATATGACTGTGCATAAAAATAAATTAGAGTCAGATGAGACAATCTTCACTTTTCAAACGATATAAAACGTATGCAGAACGGACAGACGGACTTAAATTGTTATAAGAAAACTAGTCGGTGTGGTATTATCAAATAATCAGACCCAATGGCATTGAAATATCATTGCCCTATTCACAAACAAAAATGAAGCGGAATAAGTCATGCAAATTCAATCTTTTGTTATACCAATTACAAATATAAATTAAAAACCAATTGTTCAGAGAACAATTGAAGGCCTTTCCACTTCAATTTTCTAAATAATTAATAAGAAGCTTCTTCTGGTTTACTCAAAGTTACTTTTGGCGTGCAATCATAGGTTTCTTCATAATGATTCAATAAATATATGGTTTCTTTATTTTTTTGCATGAAATAAGGGAGATAATTGCCGACTTCCGGTTAAGAAAATGTCACTTCTGGTCTTAAAAGATGGCTGTATTTACAATGATTCCACAAATCTATGGTTTTTATATACTTATGCCTCTAAAAAGGGAGATAATTGGCTACTTCCGGTTTAGAAAATATCACTTCCGCTCTCAAATGATAACTTTATTCACACTGATTCCAAAAATATATAGTTTGTATATACTTATGCCTGTAATAAGACAATAATTTGCTACTTTCGGTTTATAGAATGTCACTTCCGGTCTCAAATGATAGGTTAATGTATGCCCGTTCAAAAAATATATGGTTTCTAGGTACTTTTCCATGAAATAAGTGCAAAAATGACTACTTCCGGTTTACTCAAGGTCACTTCCGGTTGACATTTTTCAAGGTCATATGCCACCCAACATTTTGCAAAAGACCTTATATAGATATAAGAAGATGTGGTATGAGTGCCAATGAGACAACTCTCCATCCAAGTCAAAATTTATAAAAGTAAACCATTATAGGTCAAAGTACTGTCTTCAACACGGAGCCTTGGCTCACACCGAACAGTAAGCTATAAAGGGCCCCAAAAATTGCTAGTGTAAAACCATTCAAACGGGAAAACCAACGGTCTAATCTATATAAAAAACGAGAAACCAGTTTTTTCATATATATCTTAAAAAGTGTCAGAGAAAATGCAAAAACAAGCACATGTCAAAATTGAGAACTTGACCTTGACCTTTGACCTTGACCTCATTTTCTTAGTTAGAACCCAAGGACCTCAAATAAAAAGACTCTAGGTTTATACGGCTAACGATTCATGAGTTACAAAAACATAACGACAAATTTATTTGGTAAAAGAGGGACGAAAGATACCAGAGGGACAGTCAAACTCATAGATCAAAAACATAGATGGTAAAAGTAGATAACCCCTATAAGATTTCACCGAATGGCTTTGATCCTAATCAGCCAAAAATTTCTGAAGATGTAACCAACAAATATGAAAAAAGAATTTTGTCGTTTTCTTTTTTGGTTACGGAGGAGATACAATAACAAGAAAAACAGTGTTTGGGGAGATAACTCCTTCAATTACACAGGGTCAATTTCAAAGGCGCATTAATTGTTCGATATCATATACCAAACATCTAAGCGACATCTTGCGAAACAAAAATTACACGCAAGTAATAAAAGTGGCGGAAGAAGAAAAAAATTGTTTTTTCTGCCTTTTGTAGTTTTGTAAAAACGATGTACTTTTAAGCCGATATTTTTTTTGGATACTGATCATAATGTTGAACCATTTTGACAGACATTTTTATTTTTCCATTCTTTGTCATTATAATATGATTACATAAGTTTATTTACTAACGTTGCATGTGTCGTCTCGATAAGATTTCCTTCACGATCCTATACCAGATCTTTCACGATCCAATCGCAATACTTGACCACGGTTACTTTTTCTTTCACGATCATTTTTCTCGATATACCGAATGACAACCGGGTACGATGAGTTATATCTAAATGTTTAACTATAATAATACTGTAAATATTCTAACATTATATTCTGTTTAAACAGAACATTTTGTTTCATATATATATATATATATGTCACTGGTTCAGACGTACTTATAAATATAATTATTTCTGTGACTGTATCTTGCATTAATTTGTATGATCCTTTACAATAGATATTTCAGCTGATCTGTAACAATTCCATCTTCATGCCTTATATATCATGTACTGTATTACGACGCTAGATTAAAACTAACGAGGAAATATGAAATTGGAATTTGGACACAACACTAAACTCCGAAAAATACAAATAAACCAAGCCTGAATGTTTTCATTTTCGGGTACCCATTATATTCAACCTTTCATTGTAACCAGTCATAGGCTATAACCAATAAATCTATATAACATATTTGTTAGATTTTTTTTTCTCGCATAAAACACATGTGTTGTATACTAATCTGCAATGAGAATCAATTGTGAACTACATGCTGGAAAACAATCTAGTAGTTAAATCTATCAGTAGTTAAAATTGATAATTGATAAGATTCTGTTCAGCGAATGGTATTATAAACTTCTAGCAGTTTCATCTGAAGCTTTAGTCAAACAAGTCAGGATTCGTTGTCATCGCGACTTATTGGTGGTTTGTGAAAAATTCTTTACAACTAAAGTTTTCGCCTAATCAAACTGGAAATTGTGGTTTGTGATTTATTCTTTACAACTAAATCATGATTACAGCCGGGTACCAGGGGTAATTGAAAAATCAATCGGTTCTAAAACAGAGAATGCACTCTGTCTGTAAATGTTACATATATAGACAAAATTTGAAAATAAATAAAGTACAATTGTAATTATTTTTCTTCAATAATAGCTGTACTTTAAATGTAATGCAAATTTAGAGCATTCACCAAGTTAAAACCGATAAATTATCTTCCTGTATAGAGATTGATGGACGTAAATGAGACGTATTGAGACAATTATACATCTGACGATATCCTTGATTGTACATGCATTGTCGATCTTCTCCTGACATTATATAGACAAACATTTTACCCCACTTCATACTATAGGTAGATTATTTTATAAATATAATTCAACCAGTTCTAAGTTGAGACATAATTAATATACGGCTTAAATATTCTGACACATTACCTTTTGATAATGAAATGTGCCGCAGGTCTTTAAACTCTTACACCTGACTGAATGCAAAAATAAGAACTTCCAAGTTAAATGTTTAGAAAAAAGTTAAAAAAATCTAAATTTGATCTATTTTTAGGTTGATGGGATATGGTAATACAGTGAAATTAACAGATATGGTAATAAAGAGAGGAAGTCAGATGTCTAAAGAGGATTGGTTTTAATAAAGTTTAAACAGGATACTTATTAATCACCAGATAATGACATTTTCTATGGCTTAATATCAACATTACTTCACCCAAGGAACAAATATCAACTGGTAAGTGTTTTTCTCTTTTTCTTCACAGCAAATTTCTATCTTACAGGCATTGAAGGAACTATAGTTTCGTCTTGTATGTGGTTGATCCCAACAGTATAGGCCTCAAGGGCATATGATAGGAATAGGGGGACCTTGCATGTATCCTTAGTCCGGATAGTATTGAGATTAGACGTCTCGTTAAGCCGTGTTTAGTTCAGGACAAGTATACGTAATTGAGTGATATTTTTATTTTTGATTAAATTTTGTATGCATTTAGCAGTCGTTGAACTGCTTCTGAATATCGAAAATACAGCATTTATACTTCCAAAGATTCAGACAGTTAAAAAAAAGTAAAATTGGTATAAAAATGTATAAAATGTCCAAAAATATGCATTATTTTCATATTAAATTGTGTTTCTCGAAAATCTTCCACATAATTTTGATAAGAAATGATATGTTATTGATGCAAACTTTTCCGTTTTAATATGAACATATTCCGGGGTCACCGGATTTTTTTCTCTCCAGTAGAAATCAATTAATCGATATGGAGCGTGCAAAAGGGTCTACACGACAGAATAATCATAGCGTCGTGACGGCGCCCCCCCCCCCCCCCCCCCCCCCCCCTTCCAAAAAAAATCGTATTTTCGTGCTTAATTGCAATCTAATTAGAATTAAATCTCCGCATTCGCTCATTTTTTTTAATTTTTTGGTCGCTACGTGGCGATTGCCGAGATTTAATTTTAATTAGATTGGCTTCATTGATTTGGACAGAGATAAAAACGAGTACGCTGACCCCCTAATCTTTTCATATCGTTGAAACGGAAATGTTTATAGCAATACAATATCTTATTTTTTACAAATAAATAATATGAATATCATAAACTGTGACTATGTATTTTTCTTATTCTATTATAAAAGTCTTATGAAAAATATATATTTTAGAGACCGTTTTGTCCTCATTCATAACCCGCTGTAAATATAATCTTTTATAAACAAATCATACACATCTGAGAACTTCAATTGTTGCTCTGAAACATAGTATGACTTGTAAAGGCTAAAACCAAAAACCGTCAGAAAATAGTTAAAGCAAAAATACCCCAGATCTGATATTTTGTACCCAAATATTATGTTTTACTGATGTAAAAAAAAGGAGATGTGGTATGATTTCCAATTAGACAACTATCCACCAAAGTTCAAATGAAGTGGATGTAAGCAATTATAGGCAACCGCGTACGGCCTTCAACAATGAGAAAAACCCATACCGTATAGTACCGTATAGTCGGCTATAAAGGCCCCGACATGAAAAATATGAAACTACTAAATTAAGAAAACTAACAGCCTAATTTATAACAAAACTATTTACGAAAAAAAATACGACAAACATGAACTAACGACAACTACTGAACTACAGGCTCGTGACTTGGGATAGGTACATAAATAATGTGGCTGGGTTAAACATGTTTGTGTCAACAACGAGGAAAACCCATACCGTATAGTCGGCTATAAAATACCCCGACATGAAAAATATGAAACAATTCAATTGAGAACGGCCTTTTATATAACAAAACAATTAACGAAAAGCAATTATGACAGATAAATTTGAACAAACGACAACCACTGAACTACAGGCTCCTGACTTGAGACCGGCACATAAAGAATTTGGCGGGGTGAAACATGTTTGTGGGCGCTCAACCCTCCCCTAACCTGGGACGGCGGTGTTACAGCACAACATAAGAACAAACTATAAAAATCAGTTGGAAAGCGCTTAACTCATCAGATCGATACAAAGCAGAAAAACATCCAACAAAAAAAAACAAAAAAAAACAAACGCAGACCGGACGTGGAAGGGTATTTATACATCCCTAACAACAAAAAAGACACAAAGTACAGATCTGAAAGTGCTCGCAATTAAAGACAGTTAGCCCAAAGCCAAAACGACTAATAAAAAATATCAAGTCTCTAAGACTTAGATATCAATCAGTATACATCCAACATCCAGTGGATTTAATGTAAAGACGTCATAAACAGTCAGAGAAAAACATGACCTTGTGCAATGCCAAAATATAGGTATCGACAGTTTGTAGTATCGTGATTTCTTGTTTTCTAAATTTATTTTTATTAGAAGGTGGTGAAAAATGAGCATGTTCTAAAGAAATGTATATAGTCTTTCTCCTCTGTTTTACCAAAATTACATCTAAAACATTTCCACTTTGTATACTTTTAATCTACTAAAATATTACATAGCATGTTATTATAAATATCTTTGCTTCTATTTGTTTATTTCGCCATCTCAATTTATCCTTAAATATGTTTATTTTATTCTTTAGATAGTTTTCATTTATTAGCTTTTGAGATGGAAGCTTTTACATCTTATACGGTGCAATTCAGTTTTACTTTAAAATTAACTTATCAATACTTTCTGATATCTTTTCCTCACGATCCAATATGTCGTTAATATATACAAACCCACTTGTTACCCAATTTTGAAAGAACATGCTTTTATTTCAGTATTTAATGTATATATCCATTACCCCAAAGAATCTGTTTTCTCATATCAAAAAGTGATCGGTAAAATGTTTTAACATCTTTCTGTTTTCACCCAACTAATACAATATCATAAGAAAAAAAAATCCCAGGAAGGATTTTCGAGAAATTGCAATTTTAAGTGAAAAAAATGCATATTTTTCGCCGCTTTTAACGTACATTCTATACATTTATATACCTGTTTCATAAATTTCTAATCGAATGTATCTCTGGAGGTAAACACACTTAATATTTTTATTCGATATTCAGATGCAGTTTAACGAGTTTTAAATGCATTAAAAATGTCATAAAAATTCGAAAATACGTATGATTTGCAGGAATTTAAATTAAAAAATACTCATAACGTCTCATGATATTAGAGCTGTTATTTTCTGGGTCTTTTGGCATAACATTGAACCGAAGCAAAAGCAACCCTGACTTAGAAAGAGGGGAGGACTTGTGTGACCTAAAATGATGCTAAATATTCCTACAACCCCAACCCCTGTGATTGTCTTACACGTTCTCCGCGTTCACTTCATCGACAGAATTATCAAGAAGCAAACTGAGATGTTATTCTCCAGTAGAGAGTGTTGATTAAAACAATATAATGATTTGAAAATGTTGTTTAATTGACACCCAAAATCAAATTAGTTAGTGAATGGCTGATAAATGTAGAAATACTTTTAGTAGATTCTAGTGTTTGTTTAAGCCATTTTTACTATTTTTATGTGGGTAAATCATCTTAACATGACTTAATGCTGTAAAAACTTAGAATTGTAGTAATAAGTCAAAGATGTTTTGAAAATGAGAATATGGACAACTGGGCATTTCATACTTTCATTATTATGCAGCTGTAAGTAACGGGGTCAACAAGCATTTTGAAACTAAATTTATGGAATAAGATTTACCGGTTATATAGGTATATTCGCTCTACTCCTGTGTACATCATAGTTCTGATGGTATCTGTTGATTATTTTATGTTTGAATGACGTCTCTGTCGTTCGTTTAAAAATTATAAAGAACAAAAATTATAAAAATTGTTAAAAAAGCCATCTCATTCAAACATATTTCCTACTTAAATAAAATGTTATTTAACTAATGATACAATGCAATGTATAGCTACAATGCATGTTATAATGTTATGAACTTATAAGCGGCACACTATGGCGTCCTATACGGTTATAAGCGACACACTATGGCGTCCTATACGGTTATAAGCCCGAAGGTTCAAAACGAAAAAACGAACATTTGCATAACGTTAAACATTGATGTTGCATTTGCAATATATTGTTATTTTTTTGCATACTGGTATGTTACCATCGTTAGAGGCCAATTGAGTTAATCCATATAGTTAATACATGTTTATTGTAAGACTAAATGATATAGAACTGCACATGATATAAAACCCCAGTGTGTTATACCGTTATTCACACTGGTATTAAATTGAAACTCTTGGAAATAGGTGTTGGATCTCTATTCTATAACATTGTAAAGAATATGTATGCATTCAGCAGATCATGCATAAAGATAAATAATAACATAACAGAAAGTTATGGTGCCAAGTTTGATGTTAAACAGGGCGATAACCTTAGTCCTAATCTTTTTAATATTTTTACTAATGATTTACCAAAATACCTACAGACTATAGATGATACTATAACCTTGAACAACCGTTCGGTTCATTGTTTAATGTATGCAGATGAAATTATTTAACTATCAAGTTCTCCGGAAGTACTTCAAAAGAAACTTGATTTACTTTTTTGATCAATATTGTAATGATTGGTGTCTAACTGTAAATACCAAAAAAACAAAAGTATTGATATTCAACAAGGCAGGTAGACATATCCATCATATATTTAAGATTAAAAATGTGTTGCTTGAATGTGTAAATAGATACAAATATCTTAGTATTCACTTCTGTGCATCAGGATCAATTTACTTTGCGCAAGAAGAACTCTATAAAAAAGCCTTAAAAGCATACTTCAAATTATCAAAAGATTTATTGTCACGGAATCCTTCTGTTAAAACTAGTGTACATGTTTATGATCATACAATTAAACCAATTCTATTATATGGTTGTGAGGTGTGGGGAATGTTCAATCCGTTCACATCTAAATTTAGGAATGGCTTGTTAACCTTTCATCAAATTTATGATAAATGTCATGTAGAAAAACTGCATTTAAAATTCTGTAAATATATTCTTGGTGTCCACTCAAAAGCAACAAATATATCTGAATTGGGCAGACTTCCTTTATATTACGATATTGTAAAAGCTATGGTTAATACTATAACAGGTTAATAAGAAATCAGTTCATATGTCCACTGCTAGATAGTGCTTTTCATGAATCAATATTTTTATCTGATGCAAAAAAAAAAAAACCTTCATGGTATGGTTGTTTAAATGTGATATTAAAAATTATTAAGTCTGCAAACCCAATGAACAATCAAAACTTACTAAATGTAAATAGTAAGTTTATTAAGAACTATTCTTTACAAGA